ATAGCCAATGGGAATGGTCCATAAGCTGCGTTAGGTGTAGCTGTAGTGAATGGAGAAGAACTAGTTTGAACAGCTTGGCAGAGTTGTGACTGTGATAGGATAAAATAGGCATGCGCCCCTTGGCCTGAGCCTACGTGTGATCCAAGGGAACAGGTGCATGTGCACGCTGAGAGAGTCAACATTATGTTGCATAGATTGGGTGCTTAGCAGGATACCTTCTTGCTAAGGTATCATCAGCAGTTAGGTAGAAGATGATGTAGTCTATAGATTTAATGACAAGTGAAAGCTCAGTGTCTCCCTGTCTCAGACAGCTCTCTCACTCCATGCAGGGGTGGGGCATACTTAAACAAAGTCCTGCCTTACCTGGAGAGTAGTGGAAGAGCTCAGGCCACTCTAAAGAGGCAGGGCCAGCTAGATTCCTGTACATGCACAGGGGGCAGGAAGAGGGGCTTACATCCCACCCAAAATGGGACCTGTACCCTTCCTCCTTCCTACATATGCTTCTTCCCAGAATGGGAGCTTCCCCAAAGGGATGGGGGGCATGTTGAGTGACCGAGGTCATCTGGGGAAAGCTCAGTCTGAACTTTGATTCCCACATTGTGCAAAAACAAAAAAGCTGTGAGTTTTCATGGAAGGCATGGAATATTTTGGGAACTTCCTGCTCACTTAACCCCAAATTTAGAACATTAACTATACTGCATCACCATAAGAGAGACCAAATTTCAGGAAAAACTAAGTAAGTATGTGGATTTTTGAGAACTCAGAGAAGATCTCAGATTCTAGCTGGCACCCATAGCTACTGACCTGCAGCAAGGCCAGGATTTGGTCTCTGCACACTCTCCTCCGCAAGTGGCCTCAGTGTCAGTCCACTCCAAACACTGAACATTGCTGACAGTTTAAAAGCTCTCCTGGCCAGTGATGCAGCATGCATCTTATTGGGAAATTCACATCAAGGACTTCAAAGAAGTCTTTTGATACTCATATGCGCCAGTTCGGCTGCACAGATCCAACTGAAAACCAATACAATTCCTCTTCTTCACTGTATTTCAAAACCACTGCATTTTAGGATGCTCACATATTATCGCCCGAGTAGATGAGACAGGCCCTGTGAACTTGAAAACGACTTAAAAAAAAAAGTTCCAGTCAGGCAGCCTCATGGTACACAGCACTGCTGAACGCATGGTGGGAACAAACCGAATGGGAAAAAAGTGTTTCTGAAAGTTGACTGCAGCAATCGCAGGTGCTTCTAGAACAAGCTGACTGCACCTTCGGTGAAGGAGGGGGGTTGGTGGGATGTTCTCCCGGGAAATTAAAAATAAAGAAAGAAATAAAACACCACAGGCCTTTCAATCATCCACACCCCAGCACGAAAAGGTGACACCGAGTCAGAGTATGGCTCTGAACTGAAGTCTCCCTGCAGGGGGATTCAAGCTACGGAAGATAGCAACCTTTTAAAATGATGTTTTGCAGCGCCGGTGCCTTGCACGCGGAAACAGGCAAGCTGGGTCCTAATACAGGCTGCCACCCACGCGGGAGGAGCCCAAGGCAGGGATCGCCCCTGCCCCGTCCACCCCCTTCCTTCCTAGCAGCCGGGCC